TCCTTTAATTTTGAGAACTTCTCGCACCCACGGAAGTTGGCTGCAATGTGCTTTTTGACAGTTTGTACAAGTTGGGGGGAAAATGTGGTTCTTTTGACACTGCCGCATTTCATGTTTTTGTCCTCATTGGACACGTCTCTGTTCATGGTTCCTGTGGTGAAACGTCTGACATTTGTAACATTACAGGGAGTCCCGCACTTTCTTTGTAGAGTTCTACTTTAATTTTCATCAGATGGAGGTGTTCCACTTGATTAAGTTCTTTAGATTTCTATATTTTTGGAAGAATGACAAGGAAAAGCGGGAGCTTAGTTATTTCGCCGTTTCTACTTCTTGTGAGCTGATGTACAGATTCTACTTGGACCCAAGTTCAGTTAACTCGTTCTATATATCTTCTATCTTGATGTAGGTGGGTAAGCTTTGAATAACCACTTTTATATTTTTACTTTCGGGTAACGGGAATGAGTTACTCCTTCATCTCTGAGTATTTTTGTCATTTGTCTGTAAATGATGGGGTTTGGCACTAGTATTTTAATCCCATCTCTAATCATTTCAGTTTATTCATTCTCACTGAAATTGTGTGACTTGAGCATACCAGGTGTATCAGTTGTTTTTAACTATGATCAGTTTTTTTTTTTTTTTTTTAAGGATTTTTCTGCATGTAGTGTCTGCAGTGGAGCCAACTGTCTGTCATCTGACACTTTCTGTGCAAGTTTCTGACCGGCCTTGCGGACTGGTTGTTGAGAAGCAGTTTGGATCATGGCTTACGAATCGCGTGGTTTCTCTTCCTGAGGAGCGGAATTCATAGATTTTTCTTTACTTTTTTGGTTTATAGCAGGGGTATGCCATCTCCTATGCATTCGTCTAGTTTTCCAGATAGATTTCTTAATTTCTGTGTTATTTCCACCATCAGAACTGTCCATGTCTAATGGAGTTCTTTCTTTAACGAAGGAAAATCTTTTAGCGACTAGAATATCGAATTCAGTCGTGGGACTGAGTGAGTGTTTACTGCTAGGTCGTGTCTCGTCTACTATCATAGATTCCACAGCCAAGTTGGTCATAACTCGTTTAGGTTCCGGTTGGTCTCTGGCAGGTGTATTTTCCTTATCATCAGTGTTTCCATTTTTAAGAGTCATTTTATGGAGTGTGGCTCTGAAACCGTGAAGTACTCATAGTTTCATATTCTCCTTATGAGTGAGTGGCTTGTCATCATGTCTCACTTCGTACTCCATGATTAGCACTCCAAGAAAGTTGGAGCTTCTCCATGATTGTTCAATTGGTAAAGAGCAGAGTTTGTAGAAAAAATAGGCACATGATTGTGCTGTTAGGTTTGCTAGGCCATTTTACAGTGCTCTTAGCCAAGGCCAAAGCACAAACTTACTAACAGCAAAAGGAAGTCCACAAAAATGAGTGCAGCAAAAAACAGAACGAGAAGCAGAAGCTCCTTCACACTCTGAGTCCAAGGTGAATCTGCAGAAAGTAGCATGCATAGCGTTCGTATTTATACTCTATGGCAGTAAAGCGAACAAGAAGGTAGTGCCATCTATTGGCAAGAATAGTAATGAAACTGATAAATTTATGTTATATAAATTTTGTACACATATAGATAATTTTAGTTATTTATACGTGGAATTGTATTTTTCTGTGTAGTGCAACATGAAAATCTAGAGAGATGAGCTGTGCTGGAAAAGAATGAATACAGTCTAGTTAACATTGAATAATAGGTATCTTGTTAATTTGGCGAGATATCTCCAAGCTGACAACTGTTTTGGTGACTAATTTTTGTCCTCAAATTTTGCAGAAAATTGCCAAAAGTCACCAGACTTGACAACATTTTGGTCTGGTCCCTGAATCACAGTAAAACAAGTATTGTAATTGAAAAAAATTAATTAATTACTGTATTAGCTGTAACCATAATTCTGCCCTCATACTGCCTTCCAGTAATTTCAAGAAGCAAAAAGTACTAGAAGTATCTTGGTGGCTGGATAGAAATTGTACAAGGCCAGAGAGAGCATCTGCTTTCATTTGTAGTTGTGAGCCGTTAGGTCAGCGGGAGTTCCGAGTACTATCTGTGGTTTAGCTTCGCTGTTTAGCTGCGCTTTTCATTGCATTGTGTTTAATGTTCTTAATAGTTTGAAATGTCAGTCCTGATTGTATTCTGTGATACTCTGAAGATTTATAGGAGAATTTTTTGTCGAAAATTCCAGAACCCTGAAGTAATTCTTTTGATAAAATAAATTTTATGAACCTGTCATTGGAATTGTGTGCATTCAATCTCTTGAACCCATATGCAAGCAACACTTTTTGGTGTCAGAAGTGGGTTTCAATGTTGGTGACAAGAGTGATGGAAAAGCAATTAAGACAGCTGGTGAGTGCCCTTGCAGCATTCCAAGAAAAGATGGAATAAGCCATCAACTCCGTCAAAGAACATATGAAAGCAGACCAAGAGGAGCTGACAGAAGCCGTCAACTCCGTTAAAAACAAGATAAAAGCTGGCCAAGAATTTGTTAAAGAAGGTATAAAAGGAGGTGAAGAGAAAATCAAAAGAGAAATTACTGCCATAATAGAAAATAATTTCAAGGCTGTGAAAGGCAGAACAGACACGGTTGAAGATAAAATTAGACTGGTGTTTTATTTAACTGCGATGTGATTGCAAAATATTCCACCTATTTTTACCTGCGTTGCAACATTTTCGCCCTCATTCTGGTCTGTTTGAATGTTACAGGATATTCCCCCCCCCCCAATTTCAGATAAATTTTTGAAGGGGAAAAAATACATGCTCATCTTATACATGGATTGGATTCTATTCAGAAATGTATGGTATATGTAGATAATTTTAAACTCCTACATAAACTGATCTACAAACTTCTATAGTAAAAAATGCTAAAAATTCTTGGCTTGTGTACAAAAATATACAGTACTTCGAGTTTGTCAATGTAAAACTCTTCATATAATAATATGAAATAAAAAAGATGTTTCTGATTTTAGAAATATTAAATATTTATTTTAAGATCTGTCTGGAATAATTTCAAAATTTTTATTTATGTGTATTATGAAGGGGGGGAAACTATAATTAGAATTATATATTCAAAGTAATATGCTGAAATCAATATTTGAAAATGAATATTAATAGTCTTTATTTATGAAGTTGATTATTACATTTGTATAATATAAAAGGATTTGGTAAAATAATGAATTTTGTGTTTTCAAAGAATGTGCATTCAAAACAGATTTCTCAGAGTAAATTATAAAAATTTTTAATATCCAGTTTTTAATAGGTGAGTTTAAAGAACATTTTTGTAATCTATATTTCTAAATACGAGGGCTATCCAGAAAGTAGATTACATTTTCGAATAAAAAAATAAACAAAGTATAGGAAACAAATTTTATTATATACAGATGAAAGCCACACTCAAATACTACTTTTCTACATAGTCACCATACAAATTAAGGCATTTATCGTAGCGATGTACGAACTTGGAAATTCCTTCGTCGAAAAATTCGGCCGCCTGCGCCTTCAACCACTTCGTTACCTCTTCTTGCAGCTGTGCGTCGTCATCAAAACGCTGCATAGCCAGCCACTTCTTCATTGCTGGGAATAGGTGGAAGTCGCTCGGTGCCAGGTCGGGACTGTACGGCGGATGAGGAAACAACTCCCACTTAAAAGATTCAAGAACTTTACGAGTGACATTTGCCGTGTGGGGCCGGGCGTTGTCGTGAATCAACAAGATCTTAGAGCTCAACATTCCTCTGCGCTTGTTTTGAATTGCTCTTCTGAGTTTTTGGAGAGTTTGGCAATACCTTTGAGAGTTTATTGTAGTGCCTCTTTCCAGGAAGTCCACCAAAATTACACCTTTTCTGTCCCAAAAAACAGTCGCCATCATCTTCCTTGCCGACATTGTTTGCATGCATTTCTTGGGTTTTTGGGGAGAACTTGTGTGCCCCCACTGTATTGATTGCAATTTCGTTTCACAGTTCACATGTTTCACCCATGTTTCGTCACCAGTAACGATGCGATCGAGTAAAGAGTCACCATCCTTATGGTAAGCGTCCAAAAAGTTCAACGCTGCAGCCATTCGCTGATTTTTGTGGTCCTCTGTCAAGATTTTTGGAATCCAACTTGCACAAAACTTGTGGTAACCAAGCTTTTCGCTGATGATTTCGTGCAAAAAACTTCGCGAAATTTGTGGAAAACTCAAAGAAAGTTCCGTTATTGTGAAATTTCGATTTTCACGGACTTTAGCATCGACTTTTTCGAGAAGTTTGGCGGTCACTATGCTGGGTCTCCCACGTTGATCTTCGTCGTGAACATTGGTTCGGCCATTTTGAAATCTTATGACCCACTGACGCACTCCACCTTCAGTGATAATGTTGTCCCCATACACTTCACGAAGCTGCCGATAGATTTCTATCGGTTTACAGTTTTTTGCAGTCAGAAACCTTATTACTGAGCGCACCTCGCGGGATTTTCAATTAATGCAGACATTTCAAACCGTCACAGTATCTGAACGGAGCACAGCACAAACCTCTCACTAGCACGGCTAGATGCAGACTGAGCTGCGCAACGCTCTGACCCCAAGATGGCCGCGCTAGCCCCGCCCCTAGCGGACACAGACGGAAACGTAATCTACTTCCTGGATGGCCCTCGTAATATCAAACTGGCATTGGTACTGCAAAGCAATTTAAGACCTTTTTAAATAATTATGTTTTTAATCCATTTATTTTTAAACAATCCACTTAAACTTTAATCCGTTTGCTTTGTACATTTATTAGTAAAACTAAATAAATATTTCATTTGATCCATCTAAATAACTTGATGTTTAATAGCTAAACTAATATGTGAAAATTTGAGATTTTTGTTCTGTTTGATTTTGTTCAAGTTCTGCATGTTTTATATGAGTGACATTTTGACGAATAAGCACATTTTCTAAGCCTGTATTATTATAGGATATACAACTTTTTTGCCGGTTATATAGTCTCATCATTGTATAATATATTTGCAGCAGCATCTCAGCAAGCAGCTCGTTCAATGGAGCAGCCTCCAAACCAGATCCTTTTCCTCACTAATTTACCTGCAGAAACAAATGAAATGATGTTGTCCATGTTATTCAATCAGTAAGTATTCTAATCATTGACTGCAATAATTCAATGCTGATGTTGGTTCTGCAATAATTTTGATTTGTGAATTTTAAGGTATTTTTATGCTATCTGATTTTAAACAGCATTGATTAAAAAAGGGGAAGGGAGAGAGAGAGAAAGGAAAATTATGCATCGAATATATGGGGAACATTTTATTCCTAAGTAATTATATTCCACTACTATAAATTGTTTCCTTACAATCCTGATTTATGTGTATAATGAGTCCTGAAATATAGGAAATGAGTCAGTTTCCATAGAATGTTTATGCCTGTTATGTTTAAACAAAAAGATTTTATTTTGTGGTTTAGAATTAGAACTGAAGAGAGTAAAGAAAAAGTTCATGAATTTTAAGAAATTTAACCACAATGGGCAGGGGGACATTCAAAAGGGGTGTAATTTTGTTTAATCTGCATAAATTATAAATTACATCTAAATTCTAGAATTAAAGTTAGAGTTCCTAATTGTAATGTCTATTCTCATTACAACACCCACCACCCCCCCCCCAAAAAAAAATCTCGTAATTTTTATTTATTTTATCCTTACTAATATCACTTAGCCTTTTGAGAGTCTAGTTATGTTTTCTTTTTACAAATATCTGGTTAATATTAAAAGAAATTAACATTTTCTGCATTAAAGCAAAATCAAATTTTTCTAAATGTAAAAAATTGCTTATTCTTTTTTTCCTTTTCTATCCCCCCTCAGGTTTCCAGGTTTTAAAGAAGTTCGTCTAGTTCCAGGAAGACATGATATTGCTTTTGTTGAATTTGAAAACGAAGTTCTTAGCTCAGCAGCAAAAGATGCTCTCCAAGGATTTAAAATTACACCTACAAATGCAATGAAGATCACATTTGCTAAGAAATAATTTCAAGTGTATGTTTGTTTCATTGCCCATCACATTTTCACTTTATTATATATTTCTGCATTCTAAACTTATTCCCGTCTCTCTGTTCAAACTTCTTTCAGAAATATAAGCTCTGTTTTTTAGGTTAGCAGCCAAAAATTTTCTTCAGAATTTTAAAATTACATCTGCAAATGTAATGAAGATCATGTTTGCTATGAAATAATTCTTTAAGTGTATATTTGTTTTATGGTAATTTTTATTTTATCATCTTTTATTTGTGGAATGTATCATGATTTGTACCTCTGTGTTTAGATATTTTTCAGTTATGTATGAGCTTTGTTTTATATGATGTTAAAAGTCACAACTCTTGAAATATATGCTGTATTGTTGAAAAAGGTGCTTTTTATGCCAGCATTCATTTGTATTTGAAATGTGTTTTTGTCATGTTTGTGAAATGAATATGTAAACTTAAGTGAGTCAGTAAAGTAACATTGCTAAACTTTGTTTCATGATTATCAGAATAAATGATAAAGTATCAAATTAATAAAATGCCAGTTGAGAGAGAGTAAAAAGAGAAACGTATCAAAAGTATAGTAGCACTTAACATTATAAATGGGTGAATCTAATTTTGAGACACAGAATTAGGTATATTTTTAGAAGAAAACTGAAATATTCCACTTTGCAAAAATAATAAAATAAGAATTAAGTTCATCTATTATATTTACTCAAGGGCCCCAGTTTTATTCTAAAATTGGTAGGGTTTTCTGATTGGGTATTTTGATTAATAACATTGCAGAATGAGAGGGTGAAGTTTAGTTATTACACTGGATAGAACAGGGTTTCTCAATGGGAGAGATGTCATAGTTTGGAGGGAAAATGTGGTCAGTCTTTTATTTACCTGTAAATATAATGAACTACTTTGATTCAATTTTGTTATTCATCAACATTTTCTACAATTTTTCTTGTTTAAATTATGAAAGACATTAAAAAACAATCTAAATTTAACCCGTAACAGGGGAGGTGAAAAAGTTAAACATAACAGGGGACGTGCAGTCTCAGAAACTGCGCATTATAATAAATTTTTAAAAATCGTCTAATTAAAATATCATCATGATATTTCACTTAAATGTTCTTTTGAACATTTTACTCTGAAAAGAAAATATGTTTTTACACTTTAAAGTGAAATTAAATTTTTCCCAGAAAATTTCCCCATAGCCTTAATTTTTTCGATGAAAATCATATGCTGCACTAAATTCTATAAAACTAAAAATAAGAATGCATCTATTTTGAAGTAACTATTTTATCTATATTATTTAATATTTAAAGCAAATTTTAACTGGAGAAAATTGTATGTAGCGCAATACAGAAAAATGTTGACAGTACCTGAAATATCAGTATCTCACTGATTTTCTGATAGTAAACAATTTAGTTTTCATCTTCTTTAGCACATTCATTGCATAACTTTAGCGTGCATTCCAAACAAACAGGGTCTTGGCAAGATAAACATAAATATGCTGTCTTTCTTTTCTTGCTTGGGGGGGGCACAGACAACATGTTTTCCTTGATTTTAATTTTGCTTCTTTTGTGCACTGCTCCACATCCTTGACTCAGCTTCTTTTGTGCACTGCTCCACATCCTTAGTCTCAGCTTCTTTTCCTAAAATCCGCTTTATCGTCAGGCACAATTCTCGATTTATTCTTGGATTTTTCACTCTCGTGTGTAGTAGTGGTTGGACTAATTCTCTCGCTAATTCTTTCAAAAACACCATTCTGGTTATAACCTTGGTGCAAAATATATGCGTTTACTATACTCATATCTACTAGCTGGTAGAAAAGAGCGTTGTTCTCCTACTACAGGAATGGATAGAACATTTTTCATCTAAAGCATCAACACCACCTTTGGTTCTGTTATAAAAAGCAATTATTTCAGGTTTCTGTGTTTCCGAGTCTGTTTTTATCGAATGATGCAATGATGACATCAAAACCACTGCTCGCCTTTTCTTTGGAACAAATGAAATCAAGGATATGTCCTTAGTAAATCCATACAATGTTGAATTCTCTTTTCTTGACTTACATGGAAGAAAATCTTTCAGAATTTCTTTTTTATTTTTTTAACAGTTCCAACGTATGTCAGTCCATTTTTCAACAATTCTGTGGTAAGTTCTATGGAAGAAAACCAATTGTCTGCTTACATTCCTGTTCGTATTAAAAATTGGTTTGCTCAAACACAGAACAGCTTAACTTGGTTTGCTGAATTTTTTCGAACTCTCTTCTACGCTAATTCCACCAGAGTCTTTTCCACAATAAAGATATGCATTGTAAGCATAATTATTCTGGGCATCAGTCAAACACATAACTTTTAATCCATATTTCACAGGCTTTTGGGGCATATACATTTTAAAGCGACACTTTCCTCTGAATCCAACAAGCATTTCATCAATGTAGACGCAAGTGCCTAATGTGTACGCTTTCTGGGAGTTATAAATGAATAAATTCATCACTTCAGAAATAAGTGCTGCCGGATCAGATTTCTTTCGTTTTTTCTTATCATCTGGGTTATCAAATTGCAAATTTGAAAGTAAAAATTTAAAACGTTTCATTGACATAACTGCACAAAAAATATCGCGGCTAGTTCCATCCGTGGCAAATAAACATTCAATATCTTCATGATTGGAAAAGAGCTCTCAGTTCATCAACACAGGTGTAGTCAATTTCACCTTTAATCGGACCACTTTATTTTTTATTTTTCTTTCAATTTTTAGATTTGTCCATTTCACAATTATGCTTAAAAGTTCAGTAAGAAGTAGTTGCCATACATTTTTGGGATCTGAATTATCAATTTTTCCGTAAGGTCTTAGTCCAGGAAGTCTTACGATTTTGTGAGCTGGCCTTCTAACTTTTCGATTTGGTTCAATGGATGACATTTAAACCGATTTTTTTCCATAGTAGTATTTTACGGAATTAGTTGTTTCTAGATCAGAGAAATCATTGCTATCTGCAGAAAATTCAGTCTGTTAAGTGGGCACCTTACACAGAAATTTTCCTCACAGTCATCTTCTTCACTAAAATCACTTCCATTTTTGTCTAGAATTTTTTTCAGTTCTTCTGCATAATGCGGATGAGGATAAATGAATCTCCGCGGACCTAACTTCAGAGCCATGTGTTCATTGTAAATTGTAACACTGAGAGGGAGGTGAGGTCTCACAGACCGCTCTAGAAGAATTTCAACAGATACACTTGCCAAAGCATTCCGATAAGAAGGGGTCAGAAAGAAAGTCACGAAACGTGAAGCTAGGGGAAGAATTAATTCAATTGGACAAAGCATGCAATAGGGGTGATGAGAGGAACATGTGGCACGGTCCGTCAGACCCACGTCCCCTGTTATGGGTTAAATAAATGTGCATGTAATCTTTGAGTTTTGGAAAGGAATAGGAGGGTTATCATCTAGCAATAGTTGTGGATGTAGACAAAAAGGTTGAGAACAACTGGTATTTAATAATTACACTTTAAATACCAAATAAACCTGTATGTGCTTATGCATATTATAGTGTCTATGATAGCTAATTATAGTGTCTATTTGAGCAATATCAGTCTAAGCCCACTTTTACCATACTGGTTACTGATTTAGCTGAAAAAAACAGGTATTACTAACAATGTCCTTGGGCCACAGCGTGTTATTTTTCAAGGAAATTTCAGAGGAAGAAGAGCTTTAAGATTCCCTTTCTCAGAATTAGTACAGCACAAAACCTATATTTTTATTCCTTGAAATTTATCCTAGAATGTAAGGAAGACCGTAATTTCAAATAAATACAATTTCAATTCTGATTTTGAGAGGTGAAAAATGAACCCATTAACCGCCAAAACTACAAGGAATGTTTCATTTCTCATGAAAATAATAACAAATATTAAATTAAGCATTTATAACATAAATTTACATTGAAAATAAAAAAAAATGCTCTTAACAGTGGAAAACGCGAGTGATGCGTTCGCGCAACGTCAGCGGAATAAGACTACAGATGTGTAGTGAGTAGGATTGTACTTGTGTGATGTTTCTTTTGAGTGGAGCACAGGATTATTTTTTAGCTGTATAACGTTTTATAAATCTACAAATCACTTTACTTGTAATTAATTATAACATTAAAATATACATTGTATTTCTTTTACAAATACAGATTATTTCAATTGAAAGATTCAAGCATGAAAAGCTTGATTACAATCAATCATGATGTAAAGATTACATACTTTGCATCTATAAACAGTCTGGCTATGGTACTCTTTACAACAAAGTCTTTTGTTATCAATGGACTTTACAATAAAATGTCTACCATCTCCATGCAATGGTTTTTGAATGCTGAATTTACTAGGTCTTCCTGTTGCTGATCTATTTCTGGCTGATTCTACACTCTCAACAGGAGTTTGCAAAAGGAATAATGCATTCTCGCATCTGAAATCTAAGAGACTTTATATGTCCAGTAGTAAAAAGTGGTGATATTTAGTAAGTTTAGATATGGTCTCACCTCATATAATATATCAGTATTGTCAATTTGAATATTGCCAAATGCAAATTCCGCTTCATATTCCTGTACTGCAAACATGATATCAATTCTCGTACAACAGGAACAGAAATGTCCTTATCAAAAGACCAATACATTTTTTCTTGAGGTAAAGAATGATATCCTGTAAACAATATTCCAATAAATCTTCTCATATAGGCTTCAGATGCAATAAATTCTAGGTGCTTTTTTTTTTCGCTGAACATATATATTTGTCTGTTCAACGAGAAGAGAGTAAATGTCTAAACCAAAACGAAAATCTGTGTACTAGTTTTACCTTGTATTTTGTCTTTTATAATTTCTCTTCTATCTCTTTCTTCATGTTCTTCCTGAGACATAACTAAGAGTTCCTTTTTTATCCACTTCAAGATTTCCAACTTCTGCTTTTTAAACTTTTTATTATGACTATAGCTGCTTTTAGAAGGCCGAAACTTACTTCTTATGTGAATTTCAACTTTCCCAGGAGTATCATTTGGTAAAATATCATTATCATTATTTAAAGCATTGCCATTCCTTTCTTCTTCGTCACTAGATTCTGCAATTTCTGTGGGAATAACAACAATATCAGTTTCATTCTGGTCATTATTAACATTATCATCATCTGTTTCTTCATCAAAAAATATTTGAAGGGCTTCGTCTAATGTAAGGTACCTCGTTCTAGGCATTTTTTAAACAACCAGGACATCGAAAGGAATGAGTGAAAAAGGAGATTGACTACCCGTTTCCTGCTGACGTTACATCAGCGCAACACCTCTTTTCCCATCCTTCCCAACACAAAATATAAACAGAACGGTGACGCTGACTAAAGATAGATCACTCATAAAGACGGCGATTCTTTCGTTAAATATTTTCAGCAAAAATACCCAGGTCGAAAATTTTGCTTAAAGTACGAGATTAATTATTATAAAGAAAATAATTGTTGAAGGCAAATATTTTTTACAGAAATAATCTTCATAATATTCCCTACACAAAATCATCTGCTGGTATAAAATAGCTTAGGTAGTTATATTTATATACGCATTTAATTTGACCGTTGCGTCAACGCAACATAAGTGGCTAATGAGTTAATTTGTTCTTGAATTGAGTAATTTTTTTATTAAAATAGTAATAAATTCATTCTGAAAACATTTTTCTATTTTCAAGTCATTTGCTTTTATGAACTCATTTTTTCACATTACAAACTGAATTTTTATTTATCAAAATAAGTTATTTCAGGTGATTTTTCTGTCCAACTATTTCTAGTGGCTAAATACACAATGAACAACATGTGATGAAAACAAACTTATTAAATTTGAGCTTGCAATAACATATTCTGTTTATACAGAAATGAAAAAAAAATATGTATTTTGATTTACTCTAATGTGAAATATAAAATAACAGACAGGACAAAGGTAATGTAAATGGGGCACTTGCTGCAGTTAAAAAACTAGAAAAGATCAACTTGGCTACAGAAAGTTAGAATTTCATTTTAAAAAGAAATTATGATTATTAATTTTGAAACACATCAAGAAATGTTTTAAAAAATTGTATTTCAAGTTATAAACTTCATTACCACTATCTACAATAATTAAAAAACATCCTGGATAAGGCTTTCATTTTTGACAACTGATTGGAATTACACTATCTTTTGTAACCATATGCATGGTAGCCTTTGCATTTAGAACAACATAACATCAACATTATGCTATATATAATGTTGTATATCACAGTATATGCAGCTGAATTATTTAACTAATTTGCTATAAACTCTTGCTGAATATAGAAGTTATATCATTAATATGCTGCATGTGTGGCAAAATTGTGTTCCACTAATTTTCTATGGGAAAAAATGTGTTAAGTAATATTCAGAATAAGAAATATGCATAAATTGAACAAGACAAATATTAATTGAAAGGATTTGCATTGCTTCTTAATAAATGTGTAATTTTTTTTTTAAAAGCTGTTGATTTTTGCTTGGACTAGTGACTGATGCAACTCTGTAAACTGTCTTAAAATTTCACAGTAAAGAGCACAGAATTTTTTTAATGTCTCTTATAAAAGGGCCCCCTTCATTTGGGTCAGTTGCCATTGCAAAATAAAATAGTTCCTGTGCTTTTTTAAACAATTTATTTAATAAATTAAAGGCATTTTATTTTCTTCATTATCACTGCTTTCACTGTCAGTTTGATGTTATAACATGATCCAATTAAATTAAACTTCTTGATTAATTTTTTGACTTCTTTTTCTGTATCTGAAAATCCTTTGCTAGTTGCTTTTGCAATTTGTATGACTTCCTTGGCGTCACTTTCAGTTAATAGAAATCCTTTAAAACTGTTGGTTGTTAGTAGTTGATAAGTTAACATTGAATCATATATAAATGAAATTCCAGTATTGGGCAAATTAAATGGATATAATGTTCCACAAATCCTTGCTCGGCACAAATTTACAATACTTAGCCTTGCAGCAATGCAATTTCTTTAGTATACTTTTTATTGCATGATTTTCCATTAATTCTGAGAAGAGTTAAGATAAATTATTTATGACAATTATCCAGCTGAAGTAAGAAAAATATTGATGACACTAATTTATTTTTAAAAGTGTAGCAGTTTCACACTATATGCTGTTCATTAAACTTGATTCTGGATATTTATGGTAATGAACTTGCTGAGACTGCCATGTTGACAGCCTCACGGATTTTGTACTGTCTTCCATTAATCTCAGTTGAAGCTCTTACTGCAGGTTTAACTCTGCTGTTAAAAGCTTAATAAATACCTCAAATTGAACTTTGAAGATGCAGTAATTGCCTAGAGATCATTTCAGCAAACCTAATGAACAAAAGTGCATTTGAATGGCATCAAAATATTAAACAATGTCTGAAAATTAAGTATAGAATCACTTTCTTAAATCATTCTTTATGTAATATTTGCCTCGATTCATATTTCTGTTGCAAAATTTCCCATGGCTTGATGTAAAAATTTCCTCAAAATTGTGCAGTTTTATTTTATTCATATAATAATTACAACTGTTAAGTGAATCATAGATTAGTTTCACAACTTCTGTTTTCCTGAATTGTTCAGTTTCAAAAAATAAAACAGGTGACTTAAAATTTTGAAATGCAAGAATTTAACATAATCATTTTGACTAGTTCTAAGATAACTAGCAAAGACACTGATTTTCAGTTGATAAATATGGAATTTAATAATATTCATGAATATTCATAAAGGTTTGGGAGTCTCCTGGATAAAGAATTATCATCCCAATTTTCTGTAATGTTGTGGCATCATTCTTATTATTGGACATGATTTTTTTTTTCTTCTTTAGCCTCAAGAATTCACCCTTCTTTCTTTCTTTGCGGCTCTGAACAAGCCTGGGATAAAGAAAATTTAAGCATACACTGAACAGTTTTAATTCTATAAACCAAAAGTATCTAAACTATAAGTTCATCTTGGAGAATACTATTATAATTATCAATATTGATGTCTGTTTATGTAGTCTGAAATACTGATATTTTTTAGATGTGATTGTGGAAAGATGATTTTCATTATATTTGAATTTGCATGTACAGTACAAAGTCCAAGATTTGGACTTTAGTGATTTTGGATATGGAAATTTTCCGGTAATCATCAGTTTAATAAGATGCCATGCAGAAGCTATGAAATTAAAAATATGAAGTATTGAACTTAAGGGAATCAAAATGCATAAAAAAAGCTCAATATATATCTGCTCTATTTAAACATGAGATAATTCAATGTATTAATTTTGAGGTTTAAAAATAATAAAGACAATCTGGTTTTATATTTTATTGTACAAAAACAAACAGAAATGAACATTGAAAAAAATATTAAAAAATTACTAACACCCAACAACTTTTTTTAACATCCATGAAATTCACTAAAATACATATCCATTAAAGAATCTGAATAACCACATTCTTCTCTGCGTAGTTTTTCGTGTTCAATAACACTAGTTTGCATTGGATTCATTAATCCACTCAGAGGCACAATGGGAGTACTCATGATCCTTTCAGATATATCTGTAAATAGAATATAAATAAATAAAACATTTCAAACAATTTTTATATTTGCATACTTGCCAACCTATGACACTCAAAAATCAGGAGATTTTTCACAATGTTAAAAAGACTTTTTAAATGAGGAAAATATAGTTTTTAATAATGAATTAACTTTAAATAGTAACTAATTCTTAAATGCAAGCAACACAAAAATACCTTACACATAAAACCATTTTTTATTACTGCATCGCTATTTAAGAAAACAAAACAAAAAAAAAACCTTTAATCAGTTTTTTGTACAAATGGTTATAAACAGTGACAGATTTTGCTTTCTTTAAGAAAGAAACTTCATAATTTTGTTCATAGCAATTGCCACGTAGGCCTGCTTTCTCACTAATAAAAGTTTTTCTAATGTGTCATCACTATATTAGATTATAATATTAGATCTACATTTAGTCCTCGTTTTCGCAACAACACTGAAAATCCTCTCACACTCTGCATTACTATGGGGAACTGTCAAGATGGCCAACATAATTCTAGACAGTTCTCTATATTTTAAAATTCCATCAGCATCTTTCAGTTTTCCAATTAAACTCCACTGGGTGTCAATCCTAGCTGATTTTATAACTTCATCAAAGTTTTCTAATTGTAAACTGCTATTATGCAGCTGTTGGACACTGCATAATAGCAGTTTCAATTTTTCCTCCTTTTTAGAACTCCTTTCAAGATTATAATAAATATCAACAATGTGTTCATCCACATTTATTGGTAAAGAAGCTACTCCTTTTTCAGCTGCTAAATTTAAGAGGTGACAGGTGCACCTCATAATCTGCAAATCTGAATTTTTCTTTCTGAAGATGCCTGCAACACCAGTCTTCAAGCCTACCAATACTGGTGCATTATCGGCACCTAATGCTAAGCAATTATCCAGAGGGACTGCATTTTCTTTTAAAGTTTTAATAATTAGCTGTGCTATATTAAAGCCTGTCAAATGTCCTTCCAAAGTGGGGACAGAAAGTAAACTGCACTCAATTTCTGAAGACTCTGGATTAAAAAAAGAAACAACAATTGGATACAGTTTTGAATCGGTATTATTGCTTCCTGTTTTAATGCGATCAATAACTGAAGATTTATTTTTCAAATCCATTTCTTTAACAATTGCAGCTCTTTTGGTTCTTGCACTTAAGTATTTCTTAGCGATTTCACTACCAGGAAACATTTTTCTAAATAAAGCTGCAGTGTGATCCGATGCATTCAGTGGCAGGTTGTGCTCCAGTAAAAAGGCAGAGAACAGACATTCTGCATTAATAACTTTTTGGTTTTTTATTTCCGAAGAAAAATTTATTTATTTATTCCCCCCCCCTCCTCCAAAAAAGCTTATGTTGCTCTTGTGTTTTTGTGTACGCACATGTCTGAGACCATCCGCCCTTCCACCACGCAAAATCGAAAAATCGCAACGACAGGCGGTACACATCGCAAATTTATAACATTTCCTTGAGGAAATAATGGAAGGAAAGTCAACTATGTACGATTTTTGAAACGTAAACGAGTATTTCACCTTTCTCGCAGACATAACAAAAGATGATAATTTCTAAAACTATTTTCCAAAGGCACGTGTACTCACACAACTCAGGACAAAATTACCGAAATAACTAAAGAACATCCAAATAACAGCTTGTTTTGTCCTCATTGGCTAATATATGCCAGATGACACGCAGTGGAGCACGATGCCCATTGGAGAACTGGAGAAGGACGTTTCTGGATACGTATATGCTATCATCACTCACAAAGCAGAAGTTTTATCTAATTCGCAAGGTTTTGTTTTAGGTATAATCTAGAGAAAATTCATTTGCTTCGGACGTCCAAAATCACTTTTTTGTTCATATAACAAAGTATTAAGCCAAGTTTCATAAAAATCGTGAGAAATTTTAAGAATAAGAAAAAGTCGGGAGAAATATATTGTAAATCGGGTTGGCGGGAGAGCGGTCGAAAATCGGGAGAGTTGGCAAGTCTGTATTTGCAATAACAGTCCCTCACCAATTAAATTTACACATAGTACTGAATTATTGGATTAGCTAAAAGCACACCACGCCTACTGCCTTTGTATAGCATTCCTTAATAAAACTGGTGAATATTCTTAATGAGGATGATATGAGAAAACCATAATAGAAATACACATTATGTTCCACAGCCAAAAATGGAACCTGGAACAAACTACTTTTGTTTCATGATTTTAATCACAGCTCAGCAAATTTTCAAAAGGTTATTTATTACAGATCTATTTTGGGGGGACTGTATGTTTTGTAATTTAATTAATTTCAGAAATATTTTCACTCCTGCAGCCATTTCAAATTCATTTTGCTGCATTCGTATGTCTTCTGGATTTTGCTATTCATTAAATTGGCAAAAACTATTCCACTTCTCCCCCCCTTTTATTTTGCCCTTAACCATTTTAAATAGTGTAGAAATGACTGAGAAAAGACAGTTCATATCAAGTAAATTTCATTTTACCCTAAAATCATTTTTAGAACTTTGCACAGGACAAAATATATGCTTTGAGTTACCATTTTTTAAATGCATTTTGTTTTAAAAAATGTGGTTTTATTGAAAAGGGTGATTTTACGCAGAAGAATTTGGATGGAATTCTGATATACATTCATTTTACAGGACTGTGCTGATGGACTCTCTTTAATGATTTACTATATGCAGAAAAATTTTAAGAATGTAGTTATTGATAAATCAATGTGGAATTTTATGTAAACAACAATAACCATTTTACAGTGCAGTATTATAAATTATAGTTTTATAACGTAATTACATGTACTAAAGCTTTCCTGCCAAGCTTGTATATGAAAAGAGAGCCACAAATAGGGAAAAAATTCACGAGGTCAAGGTAATTTTATACTGTAGAAAGAAATTAAATTTTCACAAAAGTATGATACTAATGCCAATTAATGCATGACTTTAAGAATAATAAAGAAGGGCAATGAAAAACTAATGATTTTTTAAGGGCTTTAAGAAAAATATACTCATGAAATGTTTTAATGTCATGGCAAGTTTCTGAAAGTATTCAAATTCTTGGGAATTTAAGAGGGAAAAAAAAAAATAAAAACCTACCTAAAGCCTGAATTTTTAAACTTCTTAATTAATAGAATCTTCATATATATGATTTCACGGAATAATTATTCAACAAATTTAGATATGTTTAGCGTTTATTAGTTTGTTCCTTACCTCCTGAACATATCCTCTTAACTGTTCCTTGGTACATGGCATCATGTGTCCTTTTTCGACTCAATCTATGCATGGTAAAAGTTGGTTCTGAAAGAATTCTTCTTTGAAAGTCATTAAGCGAAGCAAATTCACTCTTTCGAATAAACTCCGCTATGGCAGGATATCCAGATATTTCTGCTAAAGCACTTGCTGTCTGACCATTTGAATTTTGAACACTAAAGGGAAAAAATTAGGAATTAAGAAAGTAAAATTTCTGCTAATGTATAAACAGGTTATCATTTGCCAATATATAATCATAAATTATATAAAAATATAACAGATTTCATTTGCACCTTACCCATTTCAGATTTTAGAACTATATTTCTAGAACTTCTGAATCCTTTTAAATTACCCACCCCAAAAAAGATTACAATCTATCATTTAAACTTAAATGAATCTGAACGGTGTCCTGGTAGAATGAAATGCAAATTCTACTTCACATTCGTAGCTTATATACGTCAATTAACTAATACATGCTTATACGTAACTAGTTCATTAAGAAGTGCAGTCAATTTTAAATCAATGAAAAACAATAAAAAACGTAATTCATAATAACAGCACAGAATATTGCAATATTTATGTAATAATAACTGAAATTTTACGTGTGCAAGCAATGAATAAACATGAAAGCAATTTTAAAGAACTTAATTCACATCTATCTGTATACTGTAGTTAGTAGCTAAATGTTTTTTAATGTAACAGTTCAGGAAAAAAAAAAAAACTATAGTAGAGGGATACTTAACATGTTATCGATTATTGGGGGAATTTCCCTATTTTTGACAATTTCAAATAACATGGGTGTCTTCCTAAATAAAAATAGTTCTTCATTACGGCTAATATTAAGCAATAATTTGCATGCAATTCAGTAATAATTATTTCATTAATGAAAAATAATATATATATATATATACAAACCATTTTAATCAATTTAATAGACCTAGCTCCATTTCATATAATCACAATTGGATTGAAATTAAGACACTGAAAAGATTTTCACCACACACACACACACACAAAAAAAAAAAAAAAAAAAAAAAAAAAAAAAAAAAAAAGTCTCATTCACATCTTTTAATATCTGAAATACTAAACATTAGCTAAAACAGAATCTTTTCTCTACATGGGAAATGCAATAAACATCTAATGCCAGTTAATAAAGTGATGGTAATTATAAAATTTATTCACATTTCATATTATCAGTCTGAATTTTCAAAAGCTAGTATACAGTCAAAAGTCATTAATTCAGACACCCATAATCCGGACCTCAAAGCTACAAACTTTCTGCGCATGCGCATAAGACCCTTCACGGCTGCAAATATGCGTGTGCGTGTGCTTAAAATACGTTTACGAATGCGCGTTTAATGTATAACGGACGGTATAAGCTAACCTAAAATTATCTAATTTAGTTAATGTTACAGATTGCGTTGTTTCTTAATCTTCGAATTGGATTCGGCTTATTATTTTTTGCAGACTGTTGGAGCAATTTTATAAAAGTAAGCTTGAACTTTCGATTATGTCAAATAGAATTTCTGATATTATATTTACTAATATGTGAAGGATCTACATAGAGAAAGTATGTTTCGAAGTCCATTAAACAAAAAGTGGAATTGCTGCAAAAAATGGATAAAGGCATATCCTTTGTTTATTTAAACTTTGTTTATCTTTAACACCCCAGCACGCAATGAATTAGAAGTTGATCTGTCAGCACTATCCTTATCTTCAGGGCAGATGTTTTTATTTTATTTGGCTTATAATTCCATACTAAATGTAGTATTTCATCTCGATGTACTCCGTGTTTGATATGATTTAAATCAAATTCCTCATCATTATTATTTGCTTCCAATAGCGAAGAAAGTAACATAGGTTATTGAAAACGAAAAAATTTCGATTGACAAATTAGTCGATATTCTTGACACAGCAATTATAGGACTTGAACAGCGGAACTTTGTAACTGAACACGAAATTATGTCTGTTTATAGAATTAAAGAGAAAGTATTATCACATAAAACGAAGCAACTTAAACAATTTACATTGAAAGAAATGTTTAATAAAGTAAACAAATAAATATTAAGCTTTCTTTCCTTTTTTTTTTTTTTTTGTAAATTTTGATACTCTTTAGATCATAATTGTTTTTTATTTCATAAATTATGGTTTCATATTTTTAATTTCATAATTTCTGCATGCCATCTTACCAGATTTAAACTGATGATCTATAATCCGGAATCGCCGAAGTTCCGACAAGTCTGGATTAACGACTTTTGACTGTATTACAATTACCATAAAAAAAGCTGATATATTTGGAAGGTTGGAAATAAATCCCATTATCTTATATTCAGTGTCAGAACAAGTGGTTCTTCATCTCTAGCTCTTAATTTGAACAATGACTAAAAATTAGTTAATAGTACCTTATTTTTTTCCTTGTTAGTGATTACTACTATATGCAGAGGGGGGGGGAAATCTGTATTTATTAAAAATAAGAAATACTTAAATTGCAGTTAACCCCTATGAATTTTTAAATTATATATTTACACAATTTTATAACGTACAATTAATTTATAATGTACACTTAAATATGAAGCCAGAATCACCGCAGTTTTCATCAACAAATAATCAGCATCCTATGTTAATTCATCTACAGGAAAACTCTAACTATTTATCTATAATTAGAAGTATGGATTGTGATAACTATACAATACCTAACATTACATGGTGCTGCAATTAACAAACTAACACATTCCGCATGTCCTTTGCTTGAGGCTTTGTGCAAAGCAGTTTCCCCAGAAACGTCCTGAAAAATTTACATAAATTAATAAAAATATCAACATTAGATAAGATATGCCAGCCAAACTGTATATATCAAGAAAACAAAATCAAAAATAAGAGGCTTCACAAAACAAAACTTCAATAATTTTGGCAAAATGCAAACATCCAACACATACTAGACAGATGGAAAAAAAAATGTTAGGCCAAAGGACACTCAGAAATTAATAAAAATAGATATGATACGTATTAAAAATTCAAATTTTAAGAAATAAATGCGCAGCAGTTATGCATAAAGCAATTGTATAGCACACTAAACATTTACATACTTAATTATATTAGTTCATTCAAAATAAAAAATTTCATTTCATTAAAAATTGTTCCCAACTATTTACTTAAAAGTTATTTCTATCTCCTAGAAATGCTTTTTAATGTAATGAAATTACTGTTATGTCTAGGAAAATGACTATATATCAGAATTATAAAGAATGAATATAGTAAAGAAATTAATTATATAATCACATCTTTTTTCTAGACTGCAACAGAAAAAAACTTTCGTGATTTTAAATTTAGAAAAATTATCTTCAGATGTTAATACTATTCAGATGAATTTAATTACAATGATATTTAATTACACAAAACTATTATTTTATATAAGTATATACATTTTTATATGAATACAAACATTTGAAACAAAATATAAGATGCATTTACTGGATACATACAAAAAAAAAAAAAAAAAAAAAAACAACTATGATTTAAAAACAATTTTAAACCCAAACTATCTTCAATATTATTATTATTACTTCTCATTTTAGGGGGGTTGTTAGTGTGTGTAATTTAAATGCTCGATTTTAATTAAAGAATTTACTATTCTATTTTAGGTACTAGATGACGAAGGGAGGATATTGAGATTTAAATATTGAATACATAAAAAAACAAGCCATGTTTTATATTTTACTCTCCAAGGAACAATAAACGACAATATAAATAGTTACTTTAAACACTAATTCCTCCCAAGCCAAAATGAACATTTGAATACTTCAATCAATAAATTATAATACAACATCAGTTACATATTTTGTTCAATCAAAATAAATTCATAGATAAAATAAAATTTTGGAATTATCTGTATTTGTTAGATGTTTTCATTTTGCCGTTCATTTTCAAAGGTGGGAAAGCAAAGTATAGATATCTTTATATGAATTCGAACAGCAGTTTACTGTTGCAATATTTATCAGCTACATATACCAGAAGCAATGCCATAAAATTTATATTAATATAACTTTACATTTTTAAATACAAAAATTTCTTAATTTTATTTATATTGAAAGAATGAACATGGAAGAAAAGAAAGAAACAATCTGTTTTACAAATAAAGAAATATATCTAATGAAATATTAAATAACATGAAGCTAAATATTAATGTTCCTGATCAAATGTTTGTTAATCCGCTCATGGAAGTCCATCTAATTTTATATTTATATATTTTCATTATAAATTTTTCACTCTTAATTACTTCTGATTTGGAAGTCAACATTGATATCTAGCATAATTTATCATATGGATATGACTAGATATTTTGATTTAGTTCTGTTGTTATTAAAATAAATATGGGTTGAATATAATGCAAAATAAGGTACACATTCACGAAGTAACACACTTTAATTGTGATAAAAGCAGTGATCAATACCTACAAGCTGATTCATTCTTTAAAAGTAAGTGCAAATATTTAGTTAGTGCAAATATTTTAAGAAACATAAAATAGCAATAATAATCAAATAATATTTGCCCATTTGTATTTAAAAAAAAAACTCTTAAATCTAATAACAGAGTAATTAAATAACACATACTGTAACCAAAAAATGAAACTTTAGATATTTAAAAAAACTCTAGTTTTATGTTGCTATAGAGAAACTGCATTTGAAAGCTTAAATAACATAACTGGATACCAAAAAAACTTTAAATATTTAAGAAAACAAGAAACTGGATACCCAATCAAAAATAGCCAGTTGCAAAATGCAGTAATGCCATTTTCAAGATTCATTTATAATGAGTTTTACTTAATTAAGACTGAGACCAACCACTGGGTCATAACTGAAAGGACATGAATAATGAAAATATTGATTAGAGAAAATAAAGAAATGCAAATTTAAAAAAAATATTAGAAAATACTTGAGTTATTTAAATAAAGTAACTTCCTAAAATATTTAAAAGAGGAGAAAATAATCACCATTACCATTTAATAATATTCAAGTAATTGTAAATCCATAAATGATATAGGCGATATTATCATTCAAGATTCAAAAGCAAGCTTGAGGAAAGCATTCAAGATTATCTACCTTAATAGTCTTCCTTCAAAATGAAACTATCTAATATATATATATTACAAAGAAAACTACAAAAGCCTAATGCAAACTGCTCAATCATATAAATCATTGAAATGAACCAAACTACTAATATTCAGCAGTCTTATTCAACTGGCCACTACTGATGTTTCTTAAATAAGGAACGAAGAAAATTCCACGTTGAATATCCAATGACACTGTTATGAACATGATTTAATTATATCTTTTTTTATTATTCTGCCATACTTGTTATAAATATTCAAGAAATTATATAAAAATTTACATAGAAACAGAGAAAGAATGTGCACATATTAAATAAAAAAATAGAATACAAACACACAAATAAGCAATTCCATGGCTTTTCTTAACTGAAAGAGTGGTTCAAACATATGAAATGATTTAAATATATACAAACATATCCAACATGATGCATGAGAATTACATCTGAACTTTTTTTAGTGTACCTCTTTTATCTTAGTGAATTTTTTTTAGATAAAAAGATGTTATCTTGATTAAATATAAAAGTTCATTATAGTTATCCCTGTAACAGAAAATTAAAAGAGTTTGACAATCAAACATAGACATTTACTTTACATATTAATAAAAATTAATTGCTGACAAATGTTACAACAGTAACTGCTACATAAAATACAAATACGAGGGAAAAAGGGGCTACAGCCATTCAAATCATCAATGCATTCTAATATAAAATAGGTAAGAAAAATATTTTTCAACACACATTACTATTATCAAATAAAAAGGGAAGAGAAAATTGGCAGTTCTGTTCAGCAATTAAAGTCAGTCATGTTTATAATACATTTCAAATATAAAAACGAAACTTGAAAAAAATCCAAGAAGGAAAAACAGTGACAATGTACAGTTTGACAAAATTGAAAATATTCAATTTCGAGCGTGCAAGAAAACAATAGCAAGAATTATACATAAAAGGAAAATTTAAAATTTAATGTACTGAAACATTAACTTTCCAAAATGGAACATCTACTCTGCATTAAAAAGAAATTTTCTAAAATTGCATATTTATAAAAAAAAAAAAAAAAAAATATCTAGCAACACAAAAGAACTATAAATTATGATTGACCGAATTAGAAGGGGAAATAATAATTCAGATGCATACCAGGGTTGGCTCTACCAACAATGCAAAATGTGTGTTTGCAAAGAACGAGACTTTGAAGGCAGCACAACTGCCCAAAACTATACAAATCCACATAGTTAACTAGCAAGGGGGCATTAAAATTAGTACTGAATTAAGCAGCTTTCCAAACTACTGCACCTGCAGCAAATCAGGCAATAACTAATACAGCCACAATAAATAGGATTTTAGAGACATGCATTAAATTTTACTGATTTGTCTTCATAAATTAATAAGAAATAATATTTTTATTACTCAAACAGATTACCAAGAGGTCACTTCTGCAACAAAATGTCGCAGTGAATTATTATAAATTTAACAATTCCCCTTCAAAAGGAAAAATTGCAAACATAAGTATAAATAACCAAGCATTTCCTGATGAGTTAATATGGAAGGAAAGGCAAACAAACCCTCTAAACACTACAACAAAATCAAAATTCACAGGAAAAGTGTTTTAAAGATTCAACTACTCTCCTTCTTAAAAGAAGGCATCTGTTTAGAACATCTATAAGTTAAATCAAATACTTTCTTTAACTAAAATATAGAAAATAAGCTCAGTCACTCTTCTTTAAAAAGTGCAGTTTATTTAAATGGATTTCTTAATCCATTTAAATAAACTACATACAAGATATACGATACAGCATTGCTTTAGTGAAACAATTTGCATTTGAAAGCTGAAAAATTACTAGTTATATAAACAGGCAGTCCTTGTGTTTAGAAATAAAATGAAAATGCAAAGAAAAACTTAAGGGAAATTCGACAGTGATTTCTTCTCCTTTTTTATCCCTTCCCCTGCCAAAGAAGTTGTAAATTTAAAAGATACAAGAAACCATATGCATAACGTATTTCTAAATATGATTAATTAATAGAAAAAGCTTAATAGTTACCAACAGTATGAAATTCAAACACAAATAACTTTGAATTACTGAACAGAATAAAAAGTGGGAATACTGGGATTATATTAAAATCAACATGTTTATATCCTTCATACACCTTGTGAAAAAGAGTGTGATAAGATAATATATGCAAAAGCATCACACTCCACTAGTTCCCTTACCGGGAAGTCAATGAGGTTCGAAAAAATGACCTTTAAAGCCCTATCAACAGCTTCACAACCATGAAAAGATGTAAGAAGGTCTTTTTATGTTATCCCTTCCATCATCAATTGAGCCTCCACAGCTGGTTCACATATTTCCACACTAATTTTTTAGCTGAAAAATTTGCATATGCAATTAGCCACACAGTAGGTTTAAAAAATAATCTTTAAATGTTTACCTAATACCACTGCATCGGATTTCAATACATTGGGAACTAAATAAATGCAAAATCATAAATATAAAAAAAAAGAAATCACCTTTTAAATAAAATGAACAAACTACCTGTAACTACCTCAGATTCTATTATTCCACAACACTTTGCATAGAACTAGCAAGTCTCTGGTAAATGTTTAAATGCATCATTTTACACGATAATTTCAGCCCTTTCTCCTATGTAAAACTTCTTTATGATCTTTCAGACAATATGATTCAC